AAGAGATTTCACTTGCTTCAATCCAGGGAGCAGGAAGCTGTGCATAATTCATCAATTTCCTGGATAGATGATTGGATATTGTCTAAAGGAGTGATTAATTGAAGAGGCACTATAGTCCAGTGGTCAAAAGTAGGTGCTGGGAAACTTCCATTCAAGACAACTCAATGACTTCCATATTTAACAACCCTCTCTGCTACAAACAGTTAAAATTTTTAAAGAGAAAACCAATAAAACCATTGCCAAGCTCAAAAACAAGGTAACAATTGCTGTGAACCAGAAAAAGAACAGAAAATCAAGGGACTGAACAGACCCATGGGTCTGCTGCAGCCTGAGATGGAAGCAGGACTGGTATGTTAGACCTTGGCTTCTGCCAGTTAATGAATAGAGATTCCCAAGTTAGAAAGAAACCCCACTAGAATCACTGCATGAAGCCAGGGCTGGGCAGAGTTCCCATATAAGCAAAAGGAGGTCAGGGGAAAATGGTAGCCTGCTGCCAGGGGCAACAGGCTTGTGAGGATATTAGACAGTGAAATTAGAGGGGGAAAGGTCAAAGATTTGTGGCCAGAAAGTGAAGCTAGACAACCACAGATTCTGTGATTGGCTATGAAATCCCTCCGTGTCAACAACACTGAACAAGAACCTCAATGCTTACACCCAGCTGGAGGCAACCACAAAATGTGTATGAAAGGGAAGTTTTCTAGAAAAATATAAGTGACCAAAGTTGACTCAAGAAGAAATAGAAAATTTGAACAAATTAATGACTACTGAAGAAGCAGAATCAGTTATCAAAATCTCCTTCCCCCAAAAACACCAGATGCAGACAATTTTAAAGGTAACTTAACAAATCTATAAGGAGCAGACAATTCATATCTTGTACAAAACATTTCAGAAAAAGGAAAAATAAGATAAAGTTATCCATCTCATCTACTGATACCAAAATGTGACAAAGGTAGTACAAGTAATCAAATTATAAACCATTCTTACAAACACAGATATAAAAATCCTAAATAAAATACAAGCAAATAAATTTCACGAACTATTACAAAATATTTCAAAAACACTTTTATCAAAGGTATATAAGGATGCTCTAATACAAAGGAGATATATCACATGACTTTCTCAATAGGTACACAAAAAGCATTTATACTAGATGTCCTAGCCAAGTAATAATATCAAGATTAAGGAATGAGATATAAGAAATGGAAAAGAAGATTAAAAACCAGCCTTAGGGGCGCCTGGGTGGCTCGTTGGCTAGGCAGCTGCCTTCAGCGCTCTGGTCATGATCTCAGGGTCCTGAGACTGAGCCCCACATCAGACTCCCTGCTCGGTGGGGAGCCTGCTTCTCCCTCTGCTCCTCCCTGCCTCCATTTGTGTTCTCTCTTTCTCTCAAATAAATAAAATCATAAAAAAAATAGCCTTATTTGTGATAATGTATTTGTATATATAGAAAATCTGAAGGCATCTATCAAATATTAGAAAAAATAAGAAAATTAAGCAATTCTTATGTACAAAAGATAATCTTTAAAGAACTGATAACATTCCTATACACTAATGTGAAGAAATAATAGGAAAAAATATCTCACTTACATTAGCAAGAAAAATGATGAACTTCTCAAGAATAAAACTGAAAAATCTATGTAAGAACTTTAAAAAGGAAATTTTCAAAATGTTACTGAGAATCATAAAAGAAACTTAAACAAATGGAAAGATATACCACTTGCATGCTTGGAAAGACTCAATTGTATAAAGGTTCAATTCCACTCCAAAATTAATATATTAATTCAATGCAATTACAGTCCAAATTCTGACAGGGCTTTTTACGGAGCTACACAAGCTGATCCTAAAATGCATGAGTAAGAAGCCAAAATTACCTAAGGACAAATGGAAGAGTGACGTGAAGAGATGTGCCCTGCCCATATCAAGTTCTCTAACGAAACAACAGTGTGGTGCTGGTACAGCAAACAGACCACAGAACAATGAGACAGAACACAGAGCTGAGAGGCAGTTTTCACATGGCACAGAAGTAGAACGAGGGTGAAGATGGGACTCGTGAGTGAAGTATTCTGGGGTATGTCCTTCTCCATCTTGGAGGAATGAAAGTAGATCTCCACTTCATTGTATTCACAAACATTAAATTCCAGATAGATGTGGGAGGAAACTCTCTAAAAATTGAAAAAGGAGATTATCTTGGTGGTAGCAAAGGAAAATATTTCAAAAATAGGACCCACAAATCACTAACCACAAAAAAAATTCCTAAAGAGACTAAAAAGCTCAACCATAAACATTTGATTACATTTAAATAAATGAAAATTTCTGCTTGTTAGCTATCACCCTAAATAAAGATAGTTACAATCCACAGAATTAATATCCAGACTCTATAAAGAATTTCTACACATAAATTTTAAAAAGACAAGTATCCCACCTTAAAAAATACCATGAAATATAAAGTGAGTATAATAGAATATTAAGAGCTAATAAAATTGGGTGATGGGCACATGAGTGTTTGTTATATTGTTTTCTAAAGTTTTCTGTGTGGTTGAAATCATTCATAATAAATTTAAATAAAAACAAAGGGAGTGCTGGGCACCAGGGTGGCTCAGTCGGTTAAGCGCTCGTTCATGATCCCAGGGTCCTGGGATTGAGCCTTGCATAGTCAGACTCCCTGCTCATCAGGGAGCCTGCTTCTCCCTCTCCTTGTACCCCTCCCCGCCACTCATGCTCTCTCTCTCTCTTAAATAAATAAATAATTCTTTAAAAAATATTAAAAAATAAAGGCAGTGCTTTAACATCAGACAGGCCTGCTGTATTCAGGTTTTACTTCTGACAGTTAACAGCAACCATACATGAGACAGCTCAACTTTCTAGTTAAGAATCTCAGTTTTCTTATCTGGAAAACTGGACTAGTAATACTACAACCAGATTACTGGATAAATAATAATGGATAAAGGGCTTCATATAGGGCTTGACAATAGCTAACACTTAACAAAGCCAATTTCTTTTGTGTTAATAGTAATATAATTAAACTAATCATTTTTTTCTCTCCTATACATAGTGTCCTTAAATCTACCAAATAAAAATAAAAAGAAGAAAGATAAGTCATATTGAGCCTTTTACCTGACTGATATAGGACATGCTTTTGAGCAGTGTGTGACATGTATTCATTTGCAAGAAAGCTAGACAGGTCCAGGCCTAGATAAATCGTAAAGTATGAAATGTATTAAGTGTTGGTATCCACACGTGCATCAGAGTTCCCTAAGAGCTCCAAAGTATCTACCCCATCTTATCCACTATTTTCCATTTAGGTGTTAACCAATGACAAAGGTGTTTGTGAGTATTCCTTTGTTTTAAGACAGGACTCTTAGAAATAAAATGTCTTTCAGACCCAAGGTACTGGTATTAATAGCAGATTAGATACTACCCTAAACTCCCTCAGGTCACACCAAGTAGGAATTTCTTGTAAGGTAGGACTGGAGTTGGAACTGCAAAAGTCATGTGCCCTGACTTCTGAGCCAATATTCTTGCACTTGCGCGCGCGCACGCACGCACGCACACACACACACACACACAATTTTCTCACACCTCTGCTTCTACAGATAAGTAGAGCCATCTAGAATAGGCCAATCATTATATCCTGATACCCTGTTGTGGTCTGCAGGGTAAAGGTCTTGTCCCTGGAAGTGCACATGGTCTCCTTTGAGAGGGACAATCATCCCTAGAGTCAATTATCCAAAGAGGAGGCAGGTTCCCGAAAGACAGGCCTCAGGCAGGGAAGAGAATCTTGTTTCTCTCAGGGCCTCATTTTATAGGTGCTGTTCTTCAAGGAGTCAAGATGCCCAGGGTGAGCTCCTGAGTAATAGATGCGGAGTGCTGCCCACCCCACGGAAACGGACTGGGAGCAGGGATGAGATGAATCCTTTCGCTTCTGAAGAGCAAGTCAAAGCCTCTCCGCAGATTCTATAGTGCAGCGTTCTCAGCATCCTCCCTGGATTTGTTTCTCTTTGGCTTTCTTCCCCAGGCCCCAGTAAAGTATTATTGGAGCATGCTGGCACTGCCCATGCTTGACTTGTTAATGTGCATTGCTGTGTGAGAATTAATAGTATGTCCTCCAATAAGAGCTAATTTTTATGTTTTTAAACTGATAAGATAAGAACAGGATTATAAAGAATGTTTACATGGAATTACATCTCTTCTTGTGATTCATGCCTACAAGTTCTCATCAAACACCTCTTCCTCCAATGGAGCGGCTTCTCCCTCTCTTACCAACCAAATCTGTTAATAAGGTCTTTTTCTGTATAACAAACAATCCCAAACCTTAGTGACGTAAAACAACAACCATTTAGTGCTAACTCAGGATTATGCGGGTGGGCAATGAGGGCTTGGCTCAGCAGGGCAGTTTTCCCGCCAGCCTCCTTCGGTCTCGCTCCTATTGCTGCACAGAGTTCACAGGTGGGATGCGGGCTGCTTGGTCCAGGATGGCTTCATTCACTATCTGGCAATTGGTGGTGGCTGTCAGCTGGGGTGGCAGGTGTCACTGAGCCACATGTCTCCAGCAGGCTTGCCCCAGTTCCTCAACATTGTGTTGATTAAGGGTTCCCAAGAGCAGAAGTAGAAGACAACTTCAACGTATAACTGCCTTTCAGATCTCTGTGTCACATCTGGTAATGTTCCATTGACTAAAACAAAAGCACGTGGACAAATCCAGACTGTTTAAAAGGGCCCTACCCAAGGGTATAAAGGGAATTATTGTGGCCATGTTTTCAAACAGCCTTAAACAGCCTGGATCTTATTCCGTAAGACAGGAAAGAATTTTCCTTAAACACACAACATAGCCACACACATTCACACACTCACAGGCACCCTGCACATTCTCATGTTAAATAACATGTACATACACCTCACAGCCACACATGTCCCAGACATGGACACAGGTCCATAAGAGAGAGTTCCATGAGCATATACATAAAACCCGTCAAGTGTGTAGGCATAAAAAGTCAACTTACAAGGCAAGGTTTTTGCTGTACACACTCTGCTTCATTTTAACTCCCAGCTTTTCCTTGAGAAAATCTGCCATGGCAAATTCTTGAGGAGGAATCTGCTGCTACAACCAACCCATCCTTTGATATGAAGGGTTAAGTGATTAAAGATGACCCAGCCTGCCAGCGGCAGGCCCAGCTCTGTGGTCTGATTTCTCAAGATGATACAGCTCACTTCCCAGCAGAGATTGCAAGATTTAAATCTAAGTCAGGAGAGAGAGAAAAATGTAATTCTTAGTCGATGTTAGTTAGAGCACAGCTAGAGACAGCACAACCAATGAACAGACAGAGTTTTAGAGAATTGTTTAGCCATCTTACTAGATGGAAAATAAGGAGATGCATTTTCATAGAGCTTCAGAGCTGCAGGGCCTTAGTTAGTAGATCCCCTGATCTGGTTCCCTGAGTATCCAAAATGGATGTTCTATGTTCTAAAAAAGATACAACTTTTTAAATAAAGAACTCCTCATTTTCTACTGAAAGTATATGACTCTGCTCTATGTTTTCATATCTCTATGCATACATTATCAACAATTTATAATTAATAAGTGTTTACACTCATAAATTTTTAAGTGACAATATTACTGAAAATATATGTTAAAAACAGGATTACATATATTTTCATTTCTCCCAAGTTTCTTATGCCAGAACAGGGGGAATTATTTTTCCCTATAGGGGCAAAATTTCTAGAGAATTTATATCTGAAGAGCCAAACAGGGTTTCAAATATAGCACACTCTTGTAAGCTCTCCATATCTGCCTATAGACTCCCAGCCCAGGATCGATCTGTATATCCAGCCCCCAACTCCACTATGTGAACTTCCTTTTAAAGCTTACACTGCTTACTGCTTCCATGATTCAGCCAAGTACAGTCCTGCTCTCTCCCCTGCTCAAGCCCACTGGCTGCTAGATCATACCCAGGGTCTCCAGTCTGTTCAGGCGGCTATAACAAAAATACCACAGACTGGGTGCTTCAGGCGGCTATAACAAAAATACCACAGATTGGGTGCTTCAACAGCAAACATTCATTTCCCACAGTTCTGGAGACTGGAAGTCAAAGATCAAAATGCCAGCAGATTCAAAGTCTGGTGAGGCCCTACCTCCTGGCTCATAGACAGCCATCTCAGTCAGGTGGCAGAAAGGGCAAGGGATCTCTCTGGGGTCTCTTCTATAAGGTCTTTTTTTAATTATTATTATGTTATGTTAATCACCATACATTACATCATTAGTTTTTGATGTAGTGTTCCATGATTCATTG